ATCACCAACCGGCATCTGGACACTTTTATTATAAACAATTTTATTATAAATACTTTTTTATGGATCGAGCGTCCTTCAAATGGTAGAAAAATCACCGTACATAAGTACCTGCTTCCGCTGGCAGTGGCCGACCGAGAGGCACAAGTAGGATGCGGCCTGAGAACTTGAGGTAAGGTAAGACTGTAAGAGTGCCTAAATTAAATTAACCGCCACTGCCTAATTGTACGACAAAACATCATCGTTGCTCTGGCGGCTACAGCACGCACAACGAGGGTAAATCGTGATGTGTGGGCGTCGGTCACCACCAACTGGTCGACACCAGGTCGACAATTGCAGAAGGATGTTGCTACCATACGCATAAGCAAGTTGGACAACTCCCTAAACCGACAGTTGCTTTGCCTTTGATGGGCATTGCACCGCTGCCTTGAACAATGGGCAATGTACAAGTATTCAAAGGGAAATTCTAGAACTTAATAGTACTGGTTCTGGAAGTGGTTGTGGTACGTAGTTGTGCTGGTAGTGGCTTTGGTGCTTTGCAGGCGTACTGAATGATTTGAAAAGCGAACTCACCAAGTATCACCCATCAGAACTATGGAGTATCACCCACTGTGACCTTTCTGTTCCATAAAAAATGCCTCATCAGAGGCCTAACTTCGCTGAAGAAACAAAATTCATTCAGCAATGTTCGTTACAGCAGCATTATTTATCACTGCGGTATCATTTCTTCTTTGAAAGTTGGCTTTTAGATTTTTGGGTACCATTATCGATTTGTGCCGTTTTGTGAGCAAGGTTACCGTGTACAGATCTGTAGTCGTGTATGCTGTACAGCCCCGCTATGTTACGGTAGCCAGTGTTGCCATCACTGACTGCGGTGAGATCATTGCGATACTTCCGTAACGGATAGAAATCAATCACTGCATTGTCCTGAATTCAGAACCCTAGCTGCGCTCCGGAAGAACTGACCCAGCAATCATTCGTACAGCGACCGTCAGCCCTGAATCTCAGTATGGATACTTTACTGAACATGAGAAGCGCATCGTTCGGCTGGTTGTGTGTGACGTAGCATGCCGTAGTTTGCGGCCCTCATCATCCTGGTAATCCTAACCGCGATACGCCGTACATCGAGGAAATTTAATCTTCCATTGTGTATACAGCTATTATGCGAGAAACGCAATAAAGCGTGGTCCGGTAGGGGTTTCGGATTACAGTAAATTTACGCTAAGTGCAATAGTTTTGTCGCAAACTGCTATTTCCGCTGCGTTCAGGCGATACCAGTTCACAGCTACGCACTTTTCTTCATATCGATCCATGACGGGAATTAATATAAGCGATAGGCAAGCGCAAAATCAGGTACGGCTGGTACGCTATATCGAACCCGTGGATTTGTTGTAAGACTAACGGCTTCGATACTTCCCGCATTCTCATTATTAACCTATTCAGAGCTATTGTTCCATTAGTTATTGCCGCCCGTGATTTTAACAAGGTAGGAACTTTCGAAACTTATCCTGAATTCTTTCGGGCTGTCAGTCCTTATTGTTATAGTCTTCGCGAGCAGAATACTCGAAATGGCCCTGGATAAGTGTGCATTGCTGAAGTTCTGTTTGGCACTGGCGATATTGATCCTGAGCTGGTAAGGTCATCGACATTTTTCCTTTGCTTAAGTGCTAGTTATACGGTGCTTTGAGGTCATTGCATCTGTTTGTGGTTTTTCCGCTCGTTTCGCTAAAGTAACCGCAAGAAATTATACCAGCAGTAATAACGGTATCGCTCGCTATTCGGTTGGAAGCAAAAAGCTCGTGATCGACACAGTTTGACATCCAGGTTGATTTCGATGGCGTAAGAAGTTTTTGTTTACGGGTCTTCGTTTAGGGTTTTTGATTCTTTTTGTTTACGGTTATTTGTTTGTGAAACTTGTGTATAGATACTTCTTGATATTGCCAAAATAAAACTTTTATTTCAAACTTGTACAAGTAATGCCATTTACACTTAAACTAAGAATGCCACAGTAATGCTTTTTGGAGCCACGAAAATAATTCCACAATATGTTTTCAGCATAAATCTACGGTTGCGTAATGAGCAAAAGTCGCTGCTGGAACGACGCATTGCTCTTCGAGAAGCCGCACGCTCTACGATCACACGGAACGGATCTACCGGACCAGATAGTGGCTTTCATGGCACATCGGAAGCGCTACAGCCAATTACCGAAGAGCGACTGACCCCACCGGTCTCTGACAAAAATCGCCCACGCTTACTGCACCGAATCCTGGGCACTGAACAGCGCCCGGCCGATCCGTCCGTCCGTTGTTGCCACTGTGGTCATCAAGTTGACTGCATTGGTCGTCATCCCGGGAGTGAAAACGATCGGGAGCTGGCTTAAGCAGTCCGCGATTGTGGCGCCGGTCATCATCATCCTGTTTGTCCTGGCGGTGTTGGACTTCTGCACCAGGATCATGATACTTATCACCGGCTTCTCTGTCACACATACGCTTGATTAGTGGATAACGTATTTTATCAGTCAGCGTCCCTTCGAGAATTACACGCCTACCCCGAAACGAAATTCCTTGCCGTATCGTTATGAACTTGTATAATTATGCGTATCCGCTACAGTAGTAGTTTACACTCTGCACTATTGTAGAGTGCATGGCACTGAGTGGTTTTATTGTTTTTTAATCGGTACACCTGGTATTTCTTTACAGAGAGCAGCGATACTGTCGATACATATGTACAGATACGTCTTACTTTTTAGCATGGAAAAGATCGAATAAGAGTTATGCAACCGCTCGTCCTTTAATCTTGTCGAATCAACCAAAACCTTCCCAAATTAAATAAGAATCTATCTAAAATTCTTACAAAAAAATAGTACCGCTGGGTCAATCGCTAATAAAATACGGTGTTTTAAAAGCTTATTGTTCGAACAGAAATCAATAGACTTTAAGTGCTTTTAATCTTCTCGTACCAGCATCAAGTGTGGTGAAAATCTGCTTGAAAGTGTACTTTTTGGCATTGTGCTAATAAGTATACGCTTGTTGAATCCCTAAAATGCATTGCCATGCATCGCAATTACGCTCCAGAAACGTGGAAAATCTGATTTATCCAGAAAGGTCAAGGGTCAAACTTACCATGATACCATTTAATCGGAAAGCATTATTTCCATTCGTACAACAAAATCCTCAATTGTTCACCCGCTAGATTACGCCAACTCAACTGCTTTAAAGGTTCCAAAATAAATTTTATTCCGGATTGTGTGCACGCGATAACAAGCGGGCAGACGGCATGACCTGGATCCCTGTACGCGATGGCAAAGCGGTTGTATGGGATGCAACATGCTGGGATACTGGGCCGTGTCGCATGTGCATGTCAGCTCGAAAAAAAAGTGGGATTTGGCTTAAGAAATGAGCGCGGGAAATGGAAGCACAATACGCTTTCGTCAAAAATTTTGGATATCTGCTTTACCTCCTGGCAGTCCAGACGCTCGGGACCTTCGAAACGGCTTTTTTCAAGCTGATTCGCTTCGTCGGCCGGAAGATCCGCGAAGTCACACAAGTGAGAACCACCGCCTATGGCTTTTTAAGACAATCTCAAGGTTGCAGCGGCTGTTTTAGGTACACTTAAGTGACTTAACGAACGTTTTAAGAGACACTAACGATTTTGGGTGCTATTAATTTTTATTGTTTAAAAATTTATGCTTATATAAGAGTAAACCTCCGCAGGCGAATTTTTATATTTTTTAATAGCCATAATGTTTAAATTCGCGCATATTAACAGCATATGGGGCTAGGCTTTCGTGTCGTCTCATTTTGTTAACGGGTTTATAGGCACTATATCTTTATCTCATCATCACTAGCAAATTCCTCTTGACCACAATGTTAAGTTTCATCGAAAGTGCCTCGATTTAAAATGGAGCTAAAAATAAGTGGAAGAAATACTTTATTCCAAAACATTAGAGCAGTTTACTGTAGATGCCGGCAACGCGATAAAATTCCTATGCAACAGGCTGGTCTGAAGCGAAGTGTTGTTATCATCGTTGGAATCTTGCTAAAAGTTAGTTTGGGCAGCAGCAAATCGGTTTTTGCGCTGGGCAGGCTGGCAGTGGGGCGATACAGTGCTTAGGCTGCGGTTGCCAAAACAGAAAAGTATGAGAACAGCCGTTATACTTAACATTAAACGAATTTTACAAACAATATTTCACACAAACTAGTATAAAAGTACAAAAACCAGAAACACAGCAGCAACTGTCGCTTTCGGTTTTACTACTTAACTACTGTACTTTCAAAAGCCGCAGCAGGTGAGTTAGTAAAAAAAATCGCGTAATGGAGCGTTTCTTAATTGTACGGGCGAAATACAAAGGCATATCGTGCAAGTCTGTGAAATTAAAAAACCCGTTCGTTTTAGATCCGGCGACTACGACGGGCGCTGACCGTATGCGATTCTAGCCCGCTTACGCTGTCAAATGTCAAAATCTACTCTCACCATAATTATTACTGTCAAACAGGGTGCACACTGTATTATGCATATGTATAATAAAAAATAAAAGTTTCGTATAATAAACAATTTAAAATGAATAAGAAGTAAGAACAGAGCCTTGCGCAGTCGGCCTTTTTTAATTTTGTGTCGTAAAAGTAAGTGATTGGCGTGTAAATACCGGCTGCAGTCGTACGTTGTAACTGCAAAGTGCCAGTAAAGTACTTACGTATTGTAGTTTATGGTAAAAACTAGAAGTAGATACTCGTAAATCACACGTTTTGTACGGGTGGAGTATCTGTAAACGTATCGCAGAATGTACGAGATGTAAGCTGCACAACCCGCTGGCTGCAATTAAGGTTGCTTCCGTAATGCTGCAGTGAACGATTGTAAAAGTGATCAGTTACGGTACTAAGCCCATACGTTCGGGCCCAACGTTTGCCCCGGAGGTGTCAGCAACGCTATAAAATACAGTAATTCACCGTCTCCGTGCTATGTACAGGCACATCCACTTATTTTATAACAGTTAACCCCTCAGAGTGGCATGCTTTAAGAATCGGTGCATTCCGCACACCGAATTACTTACTTACTTAGACATTTAAAGTGTGGTAGGAAATGGACCTACCGGCCATTGAAACCGACACAATATGCTTTAGCAATAACAGTGTTGTCAATTGCGTGTACGGAATCCATGATTACATCGCGCGAGGGGCTTTTGGCATAGTCCATAAAGGACGCGCTACACTTTGCACACAAAATGCGTCGTCCCCGTGTGTTGACATTGCGGTTAAATCTGTTCATATGGATGACAGAGTGCAGCTGCAAACCGACTCAGAGCACTTCATGAAAATGCGTAGAAGATTTACAACACTGCTTGGCCTGAAAAACGCCCATGTGGCAACATACCACGAAATCAAAATTACGAAAACGGAAGGCGGACCTCTGGTTGAAATTGTCATGGACTATTACGGTGGTACGTTATAAAGCCTCTGAAAAAGGTACGTTATTAATTATTGCTGTTTCAGGCGGTGATCTGAGTGAACATTTGAGCAGACTGCAGGATGAAGGAAGCTTGCTGGAAGAGCCCTCAGCACTGCGTTATGCGTCCGAAATTGCCAGCGGTTTAAGCTATTTGCATTGCAACAGAATTTTTCACGGGGATTTGAAGCCAGGAAATCTTTTCATGAAAACAGGCGACGATATTTCTTGGACAGTGGTGATTGGTGACCTGGATGACCTCGTTCAAATTCAGCGATCCGTGACACAGGCTCGCGACATTACGCATCATCGCGGGACAACACGTTTCATGTCACCCGAAACGATAAAGAGGCTGGCCAGGGCCAGGGGTGTAAACCGACCGGCCGGACGTAAAAGCGATGTCTGGAGTGTAGGATGTATTATGCTGGAACTCGGCTTTTTTGTAACCGGGCAACACGAAAGATACCTATCACGAAAGATGGGAGAAACTGTTGATTGTAGCACGATCAATGATAACAGATTTATGGAATTAATTACCAAAGGGTACATTCCCTATGTGCCTCCCTCCACACCACTGAATCTGGCTGGCTGCATTCAGCTCTGCCTATGCAGAGACGCCCAAGATAGAACTGATGCTGAAGAACTTGCGCGGCGTTTGCCCAAGAAAAGCGAAAACCCAGCCATTACAGCGAACGATTTTGAACAGCAGCCTGAAATAATAAATTTATTGGGGGGCCCTGAAAGTTCCGATACTCTTTACACCACCACTAACAGTACTACGCATGATGGTCCAAGTTCCGAAGAAAAACGAGAAGTCTCAAGCGAAACAGCAGGATCACCGGGGTCGGCTGACACTGCACCGATAGGTCAAGTTGTCTACTTGAATGCACAAGCTCCGGTCGTCGCGGAACGCGCTACACCGAATATTTCAGCTGATCAGTTGTTAAAACAGTTGCACCAGAAAGACGGGAAATTCCCTGTGGAATCAATTATATTGTTTTGTGCAAACAAAACGATCAGCAAAGGTGCTTCGCTGATCTGCCTCAAGGTTTTCAATCCTGTAGACTATTCAGTCACGAAGCTGGAGATGCCGCTGAAGCTGGCAAACAAAACATTTTCACTAGAATTTGTGGCCTGGAACGGTTCAGTGATTTGCCAGTACCAAAACGAAAACCGGCTGCGATTTAACACTGTTGCCTGGGACGTTGCAAAGGGAACTCAGACCGTCCATGGTTTCGCGAAACAAGATATTCGTTTCAAGTGTCCCGTTGAGTTAAATGGAGGATAATGTGTGTGGGACTCAAATTATTACCTTCACGGACAACACCCTTGTACAAGTTACTGGTTCATTGAGGGCGGTCTGGGCTCCACGAATAGTGTTCTGAAGAATTCATTAATAACATCTGCAGATTCACAGAACTATTTGCGAATTTCGCAGTCAGAACGATGGTTAGTAAAAAAATTTCAAAAAACTGTACAATGCTGTTAAATTGAGCGCAAGTACAGATACAGTAGTAGGAACTTGAAAGAAAGATTACATAGGCTAAAAATATCTGAGGATTTTTAGAGGAAGAGAAATATCCAGGTCGGAAACGATTACACAAATCAAGTTTCACGGTTTAATAATTCCGTTGTGAAGCAGCACAGGCGTGCTGTGCCTCTTACAGTTCTCACGCATACATATAACATGCTATTTTGTTTCGTAGGATACCTTCCATACACAGCGGGATTAGCTACAAGAACAAGATATTTTATTTTGGAAATTCCCTTATGGATCATGGAGAGAGAGACCCCTTTTGTGTGAAATTCGTGATTGATACAAATGTGCCTTGCGTTTTATCCTATGAATTTCAATCGCATAGTTTTGGGTTACGCTCATTCGCTCTAGTTCTGCTGCAAAAGCATATTTATATTGTGGGTGGCCGCTACTGCTCATTTCCTTGTGTCGTGGATAACTGTGGTCACGCTGAAAGCTTATGTGCACGTCTAAATGTTGACAATATGAAACTGGAGAAGACGGCCCCTCTACTGCAACCAAGACATTCACATTGCGCGATAATGTGCAATGGGAAGATCTTTGTTTTTGGTGGATGGACTGCGACAGACGATAACCTCGTTACAGGAAAAACGGCAACAGATGTGGAGATGTACGACAAGGACACGGACAAGTGGTGCAAGGTCACCACCACAGATATGGACGCTGACACAGGATATATGCCTATTTTTGCTTTTAATACGGTTATATAATGGAGTAAAGATATATTATATTATGGAGTAAAGACGGTTGCAATACGAAGCCGGCTCTTAAGGGTTTTGTTTACAAATTACAAATAGATTACTTGATTACCTGATGTACATTGTACATACTCGTATTAGTCGTATATATATTATAACAACAATCTATCTGACAGGTGTTCTAGTGGAGTGGGGAACAGTCTTTACCACGATCATGTAGTTGATGGGAAGAAAGATGGTACGGTCTAGGGCGCTGTTACTACTTCTCAACGCAATGGCTTAGGTGGCTGTGTTTGGAATGACGCTGGTTCACCATCAGCACTCATGCTTGACAACGGAAGTTCAAGGCATGTTTTATCACAAAGGCTAACAAGAACGTAGCGAGACTGGCGCCAAGGTTTGAGGAAGCGGAAGCGGAAGCGGAAGCAAGCGTTACAAGACGGGATTCTAGACATTCTGTAGAAGGTCACTTAGGACAGCTAGCCGTCCAAATTTACAAAAAATTCTTTATGAAATGAATCACCAGATTCACTACTGCGTGGCCTTATGGGTCCTAATGGGAATTGGAAATACCGCCACATACGCATACTGCCGCCACAATATCATTATTAATTATCACATACTTAATCTAATTTGTCCGCGTTTTTGGGATTGTTGGTAGACTAGTGCAGCGTGTTCACGGTTCATCATAAATTCTAAAATTACCAGGTAGGATGGGCATGGTCAATTTAACATCGTACAAATTTGACTATTAGACTCACTGAAATTTTTTGCAGCATTATTAAGTTTGTGATTCGAATGTTTTTCATATCTTTGGTGGGACGTTAGCGTTAACTACATACGCACTGCAGACGGGTGTAATATATGTATGCGCTACAGTAACGCTACGTTAGCCTAGTTCAAAATGCATGGCAGTCGCAAAGTGTATAAAGTTTTTATACGTATGTACCGTACATGTACATGCAATAATGAAAACAACACAGCTCAGCTACGTAGGTATATGCAGCTTTTGTCTGCACTGCATTGCGCTGTGACAAGTATTAAACCCATTTTTGTTGCCGGCAACTTAAAACGCATTTACACTTTTGGGCTTAATGCAGTTGAACCTAACGCGAACCAGATATTACCGCAGGCGTTATTACATAAATGCAAGATTTCTTTGATTGAATTGTGGGCGACTGAGACAAAACTAGGTACAAAAGAAGCGTGCAAAAATCAGTAAGTTTTAAAAATTATGTAGCGCCCAAAAGTCAATTTTTCAACTTGGTTTCCCGTCTTTGTACGTCAAGAGCAGTTCTGCTACATTTTTTCTTTTCCAGTGACAATGAGTGCAAAAGTTGAAAATCTATTTGTTTTCCGCAACGGAAATTTTCACAATTCTTATTCTTACGACATTAATAGAAACTATATTGCAAGAGGCACTTTCGGCATCTTGTGCAAAGCTCCATTGGACAGTGATCCGAGAAATGTAATTGCCGTCAAAGTTATTCATCTTGATAAAAAAGATGCAGTACTGTCCAAGGGCTCAGAAAAATTTAGTAAGCTTAGGACAAGGTTGCAGGTGTTAGTCAAACTACAACATACAAACTTGGTTGTTTACCATAAAGTGTCCTTGAATAAAGTTGGAAAAGCGGGTATGATCGAGCTGGCCATGGAATATTGTTCAGGTAAGCCCCCATTGCTTTTATTTCGGCACAGTCTCGTAGCGTTTTTGTCCTTGCACTGCTTTGATCGTTCAGTAAGCTCGAATAAGAGTGGTTTTCGTTGGGCCGCCAAACGATCAAGCCATAAAATTTTAAAACTCAAAGCATGGCTTTTTTTTCAAACAGTCTGTGTTCGAAAGCCGTAACTCGTAATTATCGCAACTCGCAAGCTATTGTGAATACTTACCGGTATTCACACCATCTTTAGCTCACACAGTACGTACGTCATATGCATGTACAGTATGTCTCAATTCCCGGTGACTGCAAGGCGAAAATTCCACTTCTTGCTAAACTGTGAATACCTAAATCAACCACTAACATTAACGAGAATTAATGGAAGAAAATTTAAGCCCGCTGTACAAGCGAAAATTATCCTAAGCATATCTGCTTCAGGAGGCGACTTGGAAAAACACCTCAGAAAACTGCAGAACGATCACCGACCACTGGACGAGCCGTTGGCACTTCAGTATTCGATTGATATAGCTAACGGATTGGATTTTTTACATGATAATTATATTGTTCATGGAGATTTAAAGCCCGGAAACATCTTTCTGCTGCCAGTTGACGCTGATCGCTGGAGACTGGTCATTGGCGATTTGGATGACTTTGTGCAACTGCAGCGGTCTATAACATCGTCGCGCGACATAACCCAGATTCGTGGCACAAAGCACTACATGTCACCGGAGATGTTGAAGAAATTTGTGGGCGTAGACACAGATGAATTTCCGGGACGTAAAACGGATATATGGAGTCTAGGGTGTATTTTGCTTGAGCTTGCCGGCAGCGTGATTGGGCGAACGGCATGGCATTCGTGTCTCCTGGATCCACAGTCGGGAAAATTTAGGAAGGGAAAGATATCGGATAATGAGTTTTTTATTTTGATAACCAACGGCTATGTGCCGTATGCTCCCGAAATCCTCCCAGACGTGTTCTACCAAGCCATTCGGCAGTGCTTATGTCGAGATCCTAAAGCACGTATTACGGCAGAAAGGTTGTGGATTCTGTTAAAAAAACAGCATTTACAACTTCCCAGGTCAGGCGAGGCGGTAATGCTATTATGCGCTGACGGGAGCCAGCGTTGGAGCTCAGCTCTCACGGTTAAAATTTTCGACACTTTCAAATGCACCGTACAACATTACGATATGCCGGCCGGTTTATGTAGACGATTTTTCTCCACGGAGTTTGCCGTTTACAACAATTTCATTATTTGCCAATGCCGGACGGAGCATGACCGCTTACTAGATCGTGAGACGATTGCATGGGATGTGCCCAAAGGAGCGTGGAGATCGATATCACGCCACAGTTACAGTAAATATATTCGGCTGAGATGTCCGGTGGTGATCGATAAAATTGGTTATTCACCCCGATTCTCGTTCGATGCAGTGGATTTGACTGTTGGCTCCATCTCCTCCTTTGCAGAGATTCCATCGCTCTGTGACGCTACTAAACCAATATGGTACGTCTTATACAAAACCAAGTTAGTCTGCTGTCTGATCATAATTTCGGCCCAGAAATTTTGTGACAGCAATCTCGGAATTTAGGTACTTTGATGATTCGCATTCCAGGTACAGGGGTGCCGCGCCAAGTTTGGGCAGTTTTTCTTAAAAATCGCTAAAGGCCACCAACCAAGAATTTACTTACTAGTTATTCGATTTTTTTATAGTCACCGTATGACTGAAGCATCTTTTTCACTACGGGTCACGACATCGAGGGCGTGGCTTGCATTTAAGCACGACTTATATTAAGCAGACCAGGTTAAAAATGCGGTTCGACCCATGAATCATTCTTTCCTACCACCCATTTAGATTTTTTTAAGAAATTGCACTACTGCTAAATCCAAAAACTGATTATGTTGGGCTGTCTGCCATTCAAAATTCTTGCTAAATACGTCTGACACCGCTCTATTTAAATGAAGACTACGCGACCTTTGCAGTATTACTGGAGGCACTGACAAAATGGAGGATGGTGCCCTTGGCGAGCTCGCACGGCAATCGCTAAAGGTCAGACGTGCTCATGATAAGTAAATCTCGCTCGCTAAGCATTAAGGAACAACTGGACTGGACTGTCATTTTCAGACAAGAAAGCCCGCGGCATTCCGTTTAAAATATTTTAGCACCAACGAAAACTTTTTTGGCCCTTGCTTTGTCGGCCTTTTCTTCGATTTTTCCGCCTGCTCTATCTTACCGCCTGCCTAACAGATATCAGAAAAACCACAAAATCATTCTACCTTAATGCATGTCTCATTCATCAAAAACATTATCTCGAAGTCACTTGGCTCTGCGCGCTAGGCAACCGCATTCTTCCGGAAGCCCTTTTAACATACAAGTCTATGGGAGAAGCAACGTTTTCTGGGGTCACCTCGAGCACCAATCCCGCAAAAGTTCTTACTGACCCACATACCTCTTAAGCCACTCAGCAGGTTAATGAAAATGTCCATGGAAAAATATCACTTGGATGATTTTCTGGAAGGTGAGTTATAAGCCCTCTAAAAGTGACCACCACCCCATCCCGGTTTTAGCCGGTTGGCAACTTATTGCCACTTTTAACATTTTAAATTTTACCCTACTCAATATCCTGATCCGCAATGAAAAAGTTGTACAGGAAAAGTGCAAAACGAAAAATAAATCGAAGTATAGATATATTTTTAATTGGATTTAAGCCACTACCCAAACTTAGCGCGGCACCCCTGTACTTGCACAACATATCTTCGTAATCCAGATGTCAGAAACATGGAATTTTGCGTGTGTTGTTTCCCTGAAATCAACTTTTGTACAAGCGATAAAACAATAATTATTTGTAACAATCATTTGATCTGCGTAACTGATGCGAATTATTGGTACAAGTATGGGCGAAGTTTTTAGCAATCATAACACAGTTCGTGTCAGAGAAGAAACTGAAACATTAAAATGGAACTGAAATAGTGATGCTTGGTGCCTGTGCATGAATGTATGTGAATTTACTCTGTAAATGTGTGATCAAAAAGCTATTTGCCGGCTGGGTGTTTGTATTTGCATACAATATAAGGCAGAACTTGAGCAGGTGCGCACTAAAAAGTACTTCACGCTTTTAGGCCCGGATCCATGCATAATGGAGTGCAATACAACAACAACTTATTAGTGTACTTTGGGACCTATTTTCCACTGCACGGAAGTCCTGACACTTCCAATCCCGGGGACGTGACATTCGTCGCTTGTTTCGACACCGTAACCCGTAAATGGGATTCGCTTCCAACATTACCCTTTCGCTGGCGCTCGTTTTCTCTGCTGGTCCTCGGAA